TATCGGGCAATAAAAATTCGCAGGCACTTTCTATTTGAAAATCACTCATTTAGAAATAATAATTCAAAACCAGCAAAATTGCAACTTATGTAGCTTTGTTTATAAACACCTTAGAAACGACAAAATCCAAACAACCAAGGCGACTTTGCAAGATTTCGAATAATGTCAAAATGAATTGATTGAAGAAATGTCAAAAAATAAACCTAATCTTTATTTCATGAACCACAAAGAACTGTGGGAGCAGGTTAAATGTTATACACCACACAGCAGTTAAGTATAATTTACCTCCTCTATGGTAATAATAACAATTTTTCAATATTAAATCGTCATTTTTCCCGTCTTAGAAAAAAATAATGTACAAATTATACACGAGTAAAAATATTAGATTTTAACTCTCGGTGTTATGTCTCTCTCTCAAGCTAAAATCTAATCTTTTTTTCCCTTGTATAATAAATAATTATTTTTAACACGAATTGCAAAACTAATTTAACTTAGACCAAGAATGTATCCAAGAATTTTTGAAAAATGTATTTTGTTACTTAAAAGTAATTCAAATTCAACAATTCCAAAAAAGTTACAGTGTCTCGTAAATGAAACCCTAAATAAAAATTTTGAAGTGTAAAAAATGATGAGAAACATACATTTCATCTAAAGAACGATACATTTAGATCATAACCGTGGATAAAAACAGCATCTCCTCTACCATTCTTTCCTCCGTCAGCACTCAATTTGTTTTTTTTATTAAAATTACAGAAAACGTACACCAACACAGAATAAAAGTCTATGCAAAATTTCATCTCAATGTCTTTAAAAGCAACGGAGTTAATAATAGCAAAATGTATTATATCTACCAAGAAAGTTGTATTGTAAAACCGCCCATTCATTCTGTCCGATTATAGCCGATGTGAAGTAATTAAATTCGTGTATTTGTGGACATAAAATAATGTGACTTCTAAGAACATACTCTTCGTCGTTCGGAAGTGAGTTTATAAAACTGCATTTTATGATGAGGTACATCGAAAAAGAATTTATTTAAATACCAGCAGAAACCACATTTACCCTATATTCTCAGTCCGACACTGTTTCCCAGTATAAGAAAATAAAAAGTAACTCTACTCAAGCATCGTCACACGAAACTTAAGACTCACCCTGCGTCGCCCAAATAGGTCAAGCTCAGTGTGGTTATTTGCAGGTCACGAGCACCCATGTGACTAGATTTATTTACCCCCAAAGACAACAACTGAATCCCAGAACAGTTCAAAACGCTGTTAGAAGACTGCGAAAGACCAGTGTGGACAATAAAGTTTCTTAAATTGCGAAGAAAACACACATTAGGTGTTTGGAGGAAGGCACCTTGTATAATCGAAAAGAAAAATCCTGACCTTCGACTAGTTGTGCACGTTTTGGGAACCACTGATGTAACTTACAGTTACAGCACACACAACAAATCAGAGCCATCATATGGGAACATAATATCTATCAGATCATGAGGTGACGTAACTGAAATATTTATTAACACTAACACAGTTTAGATGTATATAGTTTACATGTAAAATTAGGATAACGGACCACTTTTTATCATTTTTATTAGATATTCTTGGGAATGTGGGAAATATAATTTTTATTTTAATTCGATAACTTGTACTCTTTTAATGGCCATCCGTATATAATTAAATTTTAGATATTAGTTCTACGTTATAAAATTTAGAATATAATAAACCTAGTTTAAATATATTAATATAACTTGCGTGACATGTTTTCACGCAATACACTTTATGTTAACTCTTACGTTAAGTTTATGGAGCCCAGAATAAGAATCATATTCTATTTTGGATTGGATTATTATTGTTATGCCGGATACCGCATTCTATTCTTGTTCTTTGTCGCCTTTTGTTTCTTATTTCATTTTCCTGTTTTCAAAGAGCCGGAAACTGCTGAAATATTTTTACTTAATTACAATTCAACTGTCTTTAGTGCTACATTTTTATGTTATTGGCTATTGGCAATTGAATTGGGAGCTTGGTAGGTTATTGCAGTTTTGTTTTTGTTTCGTCTAGAACACCCGTTAAGTGTTTTGTCGATTGAGTTTATAAATTTTGATAGTTTCTTTTAATATAATCGGGTTGTTCTTGTAACAGCTTTTCTACAATCAACGTGTGACAGATACATATGTGTATGTTTGGTCGTTCAGTCAAAATATATATTTCCTAACATGCAGAGTGATTAGAATTAAATAATACATCATTGAATATAATTTTAGGTTTCAAATTTTTATGAAAACTTTAACACAAATTTTGCATTTTTGTACAAAAAATATCTATGCAGTTTATGTATTAGAAAGTCTCTACTGAGATTTTGATTACGTATTGAAATTTTTTAACTGGCTTTTCACTTTTATTTTTAATTGTGAAGCTGTTTATGCAATAAGAATGACTTGTATATCAAATAACTACTGTGAATAATAGTTATTTATTGTATAAATGTAAGTGGATAAGAGGCAGTTAAAACACTAATGCGATACAACATTTATCCATAATCAGTCAGAATTATTGAAATTTAATAAAAAAATATTCGCACTTGATATTTCTTACTAGTTACTACTCAATGAAACGTGGTAGGTTTTGTTACACCTACTACTGCTATGGTACGTTGTTTATTATCAATTATTTAATAAACAGTTCTATCTGAATTTGGTAAAAATGCAAAAAAGTAATTGTGTTCCTGTGGCTGTTTTTGAAGAAGCTCAAGAAGCAATTTTCCATTTATTGCTAGCGAAATTCAGGAAACATTACGAATTTAACGAATTGAGGGGAAAACGGAGAGTAATGACAATAAATGAAGAAGTCATGCTATCGTATTTTTTAAATTTGAAGAAAAAGTATTTCATCTATGTGGTCGAAGTATTCGATGTTGAAGGCTACTACAAAGGTCTACAAAAATATAGATATTGGAAAATATAACAAGCTTAGTGCTTATTTGAAGAGTGAATCGAGAGGATACAGAGCAAAAACTTCTGCAGTATTGGAAAGAGACCATTATTGAAGAATTTTTTACTCGGGCTTCCGATAAGGAATATTTAATGATTAAGGTAATATCTCTACCTTTTACATGTTGTTAGGTATATAGTGAACTTCGAACTATTTTCGGTTGCATAATGGAGGTTTCTGGTGCCTGTCAATGCTGCGAATTGACAAATTTGAAAATTAGTGACGTACAGGATGTTGGCAATTACCAACTTGATTCAATACCTGACACCATTTCAAGAAAATTTACAATTATAGAAGAAGGATTTTGCATGAATGCTGTTGAAATATGTAGAAAATATATTTCCCTGCGTCCAATTCGCCTAACACAAGACAGATTTTTTTTAAGATACATCAATCAAAAATGTACTTCTCAGCGTGTTAGAATCAATACATTTGCGAAGGTATCTTCAATAGTTGCTTCATTCCTGAATATCGCAATTCCAGAAGCATATACAGGCCATTGTATGAGGCGCACTTCAACAACTTTATTGTCCAATAAAGGCTGATCTTATAACCATCAAACGGCATGGTGGATGGAGGAGCTCCACTGTAGCAGAAAATTATCTTGAGGAGTCTATAAGTATCTAACAAACTTGATATTGCGAGGAAAACCCTAAGAAAATATAGCTGTTCCTTACAAGAAGAGACATCCGTAACTTGTGCAAATTCTTCATAAACTTCATCAGATGTTATGCGTTGTGAAAATGATGGTAACAGTACTACAAGGGTTGTTATTAACGGAAAGGAAGTTAAATGTGATAAAACAAAAAACGAACGTTAATAAGTAAATAAATTAAACTTGATTTATTGTAGGCTTATTATTTTTTCATTATTCTATCTGTGAAATAAAGTTTATTCCACTAATGGATAAAGTATCACTTTAGACGATTCATATGTGTGGATAAAAGTCAGATTTATAAGGTGATTGTGGATAAAAAGTATACATTAATAATTCAGTTATAACAGTATCGTAAGAAGTACGACAACCAGATTTAGGTTATTTTTATGTGTATAAAACAGCTTAAAGATTTTTTGTACTATTTTAACGTAGTGGGTGTTTATTGTACTGCAATTTTCTTAATTTTATCTACCGTTTAAACATAAAATTTAACGATGGTCTCTTTTTTTGTAAATTTTATTAGGGTCTAAAAAATATGACCTAAGCTATCGCTTTAAAGATTAAAAATAACTGCGATACATGATGGGCCAGTTTTCAAATTCATCAATGGAAAATCCGCTTCTATCAAAATTTCAACAAAACGTTCTTAAATTAATTGCTTATCATTCGGTGAATTCCATAGAATCATTTTAATAAAATGGGTATTTCCATCTAGTTGCTCATGAAAGCTAGAGGGGGCTCGGTGATGGATGGATACAAATAATAATAATAATGTCAAATTATTTTTTTATCGTTTTTTTTTAATCACGTCAATAATGTTCCAAACTCATTAATGACCAATAGCCTCGTATTTACCTACAACTAGGGTTACCAGATCTATTTCATGACAGACCCGGAGATATGACTCGTTTGTATAATTGATGCCTTAAAAAGGAGGTTATGCAAATGCGATCAGATAATCTGGGAGACAAATTGTTGTTTTCGAAGAAATGGATGTCAAAAAAAAACGCAATTAGAAAAATATCTACTTCGTGGCAGATATCAGAAATGTTTTTTCCGCAACAAAGAAAACCCGGAGAAATGACATGTTAACCCGGAGCCCGGAGATGTACCATCAAAACCCGAAGACTCCGGGTGAAACCCGGAGATCCGGCAACCCTACCTACAACTGCAAGTGCGCTCAAACTGCACATGTTCACGCTAAAAATTTCGCAACTCAAAGGAATTATTCTAAATCCAGTATACCGCGCTATAAATATCCCAACAAAATACTGGGTTCGGATTTCGCGGAATACACTTTTCGATTCGCAATTGTTTATTTTACTTGTTTTAAGTAAGTTCGCTTCCTGTTTCAGAAGCATAAGTCGAGGAGTCGGTCGCATTCCCTGGTTAGCGCTAATATGGAGGACGCGGACAGCAAAAGTCTTCAGGGGGGGCCGAAGTTCGACGTCAAAGTGTCAAAGGCCATGGGAAGGTAAGAAACCTTTTATGTTTTTAAGCTGCGTGGATAAATTTTTTGAATAATAATAATAATAATAGGTAGCTGTTTTAAATTTAAATAAAAAATTTATTGTCCCCCCAGTGTAGTATACAGGCTGTTTCAGTTCGAGTGAATCAAACTAATAACCACAAATAGAACTCAATAAATAATTCAGAATTGCCTTATTATAAAGCAAGGGGGCTTAGTCGGTTTCTAAAATCATATTATTTATGAGATCTTTGGTATGCTTATAACAAATTATTTCAATTTTGGTGTAATGTTAAAAAGGTATACTTCCACAATGGGGGGAAGATTGTTTACAGGCTGGTTAATTATGGTATAATTTTTACATAAATACACGTTTTTCGCTTATAACTTTTTTCCGTTCATTTCCGCGAGAAACGTTTTTCTTTCGCCTTTAAAGGACCTACAAAACTAGCCCTCGAGCGTCAAAAAATATTGATTGGATCAAAAGTTATAAACAGAAGAAGATTATTTATGACTTTTGAATTAAACATTTATAAACTGCGTTATTATTACCAGAACGTTTTGGCATCGCATCCTCTCATACCTTATCACTGTCTAATAACTCACACGAAATCTGAAACCGGTAAGTTGAATAGTTTACAAGTTATGACCTTATAAACAAATTAACTCATTATTAGTCTGGACGATCCCGAGCATCTTCCACAATCGCACTGATTTTTTTCATTGTAGATCTCATAATTGAAATCTATAATTTTTTTTAATTTCAAATTTGCAACCTGGAATTTTTTTTTATTTTTTAGCCTTAGTACGCGCGTGATATAGTTATATATTATTACATATTCGGAAAGCTTCTGAAAAGAGCTTTAAGTTAAAAAAAAAATCCTCAAGATTCGTTGCAAAACAACGAAGTTAAGGACTGTCAAAGTTGACGGCCTATTGTTAAACAAATTAGGTTGGTAGCGGAAAAAATGTCATAACCGGCAATCCGAGTACTTTCCCAGATAAAAATATTTTATTTGTGGAAGTATGTTAAGTGCATAAGAAATATTGTCAAAAGTCAGGGGGTCGCTTGATTTTCGGCGAGCCGTGGCGCGGCGGAAGGGTGGGGGAAGCGAACGACAGCGAGTCCGAAGAAAATGACGATAATATTCAAAGTCCTGCCGTTAAAAAAGCGAAATTCGCTTGAAAATAATATATTTGACAATCTGTAACTCCGTTGTTTTTCAACGAATCTTAACGATTTTTTTTTAACTTAAAGCTCTTTTCATAAGCTTTCCGAATATGTAATAATATATTACTATATTACGCGCGTGCGTCGTATATTTCATTTTGTAACTAAGGCTAAAAAATAAAAAAACTTTCCAAGTTGCAAATTTGAAATTTAAAACAAAATGATAGATTTCAATGTACTATTATGAAATCTACAATGAAAAAAATCAGTGCGATTGTCGAAGATGCTCGGGATCGTCCAGACTAATAATTAGTCAATTTGTTTATAAGGCCATAACTTGTAAACTATTCAACTTATCGATTCCAGATTTCGTGTGAGTTATTAGACAGTGATAAGGAATGAGAGGATGCGATGCCAAAACGTTATGGTAATAATAACGTAGTTTATAAATGTTTAATTCATAAGTCATAAATAAACTTCTTCGGTTTATAACTTTTGATCTAATCAATATTTTTTGACGCTCGAGGGCTAGTTTTGTAGGTCTTTTGAAGACGAAAAAAAGTACGTTACTGTTTTCTCGTGGAAATGAACGGAAAAAAGTTATAAGCCAAAAACGTGAATTTACGTAAAAATTATACAATTAAACAACCTGTAAACAATCTTCCCGCCATTTGTATGACTGTGGAAACTAATAAGTTATTGTACATAATATTTAGCATCTATAGTGATAAATTCAGCTTGCCGAAACAAAAAGTCGCGTCCAACTCTATATTTCCGAGTATCGTTTTTCCGAAAATCTCAGTCGAGACCGTTCTTCTGATCTAAGAAATTTAACGAACTAAACTAGACTAGTAGAATACGGTATTTTGGGGTCTGAAATTGGGTCGAAAAAGTACGCTCTTAACGATTTCAGACAAATATTCTAGATAAAAGCAATAGTTTAAAAAACGTACCTATATCATTGCGATGCAATAAAAGATTAATTATTTGATTTTGTGCGTAAATTGCATTCGTCGCCGTCGTAATTCAACATTGAATGTTCAAAAGAGACCGGATAAATAAATACGTTGCCAAATTTATATTTTCATTGCCAGAAAGCTTAATTCTAGTTCTAATACGTTAGTACTCCATAATTTGTAAATATAAATTACTTCAAACAATGTAAGGATGACGTCTAAGACATTGCGATTATTTTTCTTTACATCTTTATGAGTATGCAATTTTTATGACGCATTCTTAAAACAGATTTTGAAGTAGAAATAACGCTTCCAAAAAGTGAATGTTTTCAATTTATGGAAAAGTCAAAAATAAACTGGTATAATGTACCATTTTCCACCGAAAATAATCATCCCGACAAGTTTTTATTTTTGACTTTAGAAAAACAACTTTTTACAAATAGTCTAGATTTTTGGCTTTTTGGCTTTCAAATATCACTAGAAATTAAAATTTTTCTATGCGCATAAAAAAAACGTGGGCTTAACTTTTGGCGGTACAATATGTTTAAAAAATTCGAAAAATCATATTTTTCTTGCTACTTAATAATGTATCTTTTCCAGAGTTGATTTTAGGCGAAAATGGAAGAGGAAAAAAAATGAGTGTAATTAAATTTTTTACAAAATATGACTAGTTACAAATCGAATGAATCATGATTATTATTGTAAAAATCGAAAAAATCGCCAAAATTGGGGTTAAAAAACGTTACTTTTTATGGAATTTCGTTGGAGTCTTTAAATTGGGTATAGAACCTTCATACTTGGCTCAAGAAAACTTCATGTTATGTAGAATCATCACACCAAATTTCATCAAAATCGGTTTGATAGATTTTGCATAATAAATTTGCAACCCAGATTTTGAAAAGAAAATTGCAAATATTCAAAATTTTGCACAGCAAAAACCAAGGCCCTTGGATACATAAAAATTTAATCACATATAGAAGGGCACTCAAGCTTTCAAACGCTTTTTGAAATATTCGAAAACATTGGTCGAATTTTTATACTTATAAACAATAACTTTGTGAATATTCAATCAAATCAAAATTTTTAAAGCAGGTTTTAAAAGTTATTAAGTATGAATAAAATATTATTGATTTTTTATAATTAATTTATTAATCTAATCATTTCTATTGTGATTAAAGTATAATTCAAATATTATTTATTGTTTAAAATATAAGCAAATGAGAAATTAACTCATTATATTAGATACAAAAATACAAAATTATAGTACAAAAATTCGACCAATGTTTAAATAAGCGCCAGAGCTCTCCTAATTGACGGATTCGAATTTTTCAAAAAGCGTTTGAAAGCTTGAGAGCCCTTCTATATGTGATTAAATTTTCAAGTATCTAAGGGCCTTGGT